CCTGGCTCTAATTTCTGACTTTTCTTTCATAACAAAAATAATAAATATCTTGAAGAAATTAAATTAATGTTTCGTTTTATGATTTGGGAATAATTTTAAGTTTATTAGATGATTAATATTTACTCATATTTCTCATTGAGATTTCTGTGCTTTTCATGTGGTATAAAGGGATTGGAAAACTTATAAATTTGATAAAATGAAAGCAAATATAATTAAAATTATCGCAAAATTATCACTAAAATAATGACATCGATTTAAATACATATTTTAGTAGGAATTAAATAATTCCAATGTCATAGAAAGTCGCTAGAATTTCAGGGAATGCGCATGGCTTATTTTCATTTCAGTTCTTATTTATCTCTAATATTTAATAAATTGTAGATAATTCTTCCTTCATTCTTTTGGAGTTTATGCTTCAACACAAACCGCAGAGCGAACTTTCCTTATATTCATTTACAAAGATTAATAATATTCACAAGAGACTATTTGACTTAAATGGATGTTGATTGATAAAACTTTTACTCTTTACCCAATGAAAGCGATAAACATTTTTTTATATTTTGAAGAAGACAATTTAATTCAACGATTAGCTTGACTTTTTGAGTGAGCAATTAACCACTGAAAAGGAAAATTTGTTTATGTTAATGTCAAATAACTTTTTGTATTTTTTTTATAAGAATGCGAACCTGTAACGTAATGTCGATGTTATCTTTTTCCTTACACGAAATACTATAACAACATATCTCACGATCTTGTATGGATGACAAATTCCTGCAAGATTAAGAAAATATTTTAACTATTTGAAGAATCATAAAAGTTTCTATTAACTCACATCCTTTCAATCAGTCCTGTCTCTTCTAGGGCACCAGGTAAATCTCGCTTGTTTCCCAATACAAGAACGGGAATTCCTGCTAGTTGTGGCTTATCCAACAAGGAGTGGAGTTCATTTCTTGAAGCTTCCATTTTATCTAAATCTGCTGCATCTACCATGTACCTTTAAAATAAATGTCATTAGTAAATCATTCCATTGTTTTTATTTTGAATACTTACACAATAGCATTCACACCACGACAATACCGCTCCCACATTGATCTAAATCGTGGCTGTCCACCGATATCTAAAATAAGCAATTTCATTTTCCATTAATCTCAATAAACTTCAATATGTGATTTTCATCTTTTTTTTCTTACCCCAAACTTTAATCGTGACATTGCCTTTTGTAACTTTTCTCATGTTAAACCCAACAGTTGGAATCATATCTTCGCTGAAATTGCCGCTCTGAAACAAAAGAAAAATTTGTAAATTAGAAAAAGAGAAATAAAACAAAAAATCGATATTTGAATCTTTGGTGTACCGAAAAAAGATATTTTCTCACACGAAAAAAGATATTTCTTTAATTTTTTGAATGCAGTCATTAAATCTCATTTACATGCCAGTTAAAGCGAATTTATCAAAATTATTGTTCAGAAGATTTATATGTTGGTGAGTCACTAACAGCTGATAAACAAAGAAATTGTCAGTTTTATGAGTTATGCTTCATTTTCAATCGCATTTTGCAATTTTTTCAAAGATACTGCTCATTATTGTTGCTCTTTGAACTGACCCTTTGTTGAGACAACTAAAGTGACTCAAATCTCTTGTTATCATTCACAGGGCTTATCGAAATTCAACAAACTAAGATACTTACAGCAATCACATTGACAAAGGTTGTTTTTCCGGAATACTGAAGCCCCACAAGGGTAAGTTCCATTTCTAAAATAAAATAAGTGAAATTTATTCATCATTATGGCAGAGTCATCGAGAATAAAATTTATTTTCATCCTTCGAATTATTTTCTTTCTCTTCTTTTTTTATTGATAAGGCGAAAAATATTTGTATTCACAGTCTATTCCTTTCATACCTTCTTTCCAAAACAATGACTTGAACCAGTCGAGTATCTTATTAATTATAGCAAACATCTTTAATTGTACTCCTTAAAGAATTTAAATTGCTTTAAAACTTTTTAATATTTTTGTTGACGAATGACGAAGAAAAATTCAAACTTGTATGGTGTCGAATGTCCCAACCTCACTAAAGGGGTACAAAACTTTAGAAGTCGGATATTCGTAATTTCTGTAAACAAATAATCGGCAAACGAAAGAAGTTGAAGAATTTAAGAAAATTGAATTACAATTGAATTAAAAAGAAATTTAATTACAAATACGATTAATTATGGCTGCAGTTGAAAAGCCTCAACCAATGGATGTCGATCCAAAGAAAACTGAAGAAAAGGTCGAGGAGAAAACAACTGAATTGGTAAATTATTTTTTTGTCGAGTCATTATCCAACCAAAATTTGCAATTCAAAAGTTCTAAACAAATTTGAGAAAGTATAAAGGATTATTTTTTAATTATTTATACAGTGGTTGTATGATGATTACATTAAATGATGATTTAAATTACTTATTTTGATATTTCCCAACTAACCCCAAACTTTGTTTTTTTCTTTGCTTCGCAATTCCTTTTAGTCTGATGAAGATGAACAACTTCAATCAGAACTCAATATGTTGGTTGAACGACTAAACGAAGAGAAAATCGAACTTTATTTACCAGCTCTAGAGACCATGGCTCAGCTGATTCGAGCATCAACAACATCAATGACGTCCGTTCCAAAACCATTGAAGTTTATGCGTCCACATTACGATACTATGAAAGAGATTCACAAGAAGATGCAAACTTCTAATCAAGATAAAGCAGTGTTGAAATTATGCGCTGAAATTATTTCCGTACTAGCAATGACAATGGGAACAGGAAAAGATTGTCTTGTATATCGATTGTTGTGTGATGAAAAAGTCAAGTCATCAATTGGTGATTGGGGTCATGAATATGTTCGTCATTTGTCAGGTGAAATTGCTAGCAATTGGCCAGAAGCATCTGATACATTTCGTGCGACTCTTATCGAACTGGTTCAGCAAATCGTTCCTTACAACATGGCACATAATGCTGAAGCCGAAGCTTGTGATTTGCTTATGGAAGTTGAAAAGCTTGAATTACTCGAACAATACGTCGATGAAAGCGCTTATCCTCGTGTATGTTTGTATCTTCAGAGTTGTGTTCCCTACGTTCCAGATCCAGAGAATGTCAGCATATTAAAATGTGCATTGAATTTGTCTCGAAAATTTAAGCAGTACACACAAGCAATGCGACTTGCTTTGTCTTTAAATGACAAGAAAATCATCGAAGAAATCTTCCTTGCATGTCCAGATTTGTAAGCATAATTCTATCTTTACCTAAGTATACAATTGTAAGAAAGTTTATTTAAATTTCAGAGGAACACAAAAGCAACTTGCGTTTATGTTGGGTCGTCAGCAAGTTTTCTTAGAACTCCCCGAAGGTTCAAATGACAACGAAGAACTTGTCGACATCATGTCCAATTCTCATTTGAATAATCATTTCCTTAACTTGGCGAGAGAATTGGATATCATGGAACCGAAAACACCAGAAGATGTCTACAAATCTCATTTGGACAATTCACGAGCTCCTTTTGGTTCATCACAAATCGATTCAGCTCGACAGAATTTGGCAGCCAGTTTTGTCAATGGTTTTGTTAATGCTGGTTTTGGAAATGATAAATTGTTGATGGAAGATGGCAACAAATGGCTTTACAAGAACAAGGAACATGGAATGTTCAGTGCAACTGCATCACTTGGCTTGATTCTTTTGTGGGATGTTGATGGAGGTTTAACACCAATTGACAAATATTTATATTCATCTGAAGATCACATTAAAGCTGGAGCTTTGTTGGCTTGTGGTATTGTCAACACTGGTGTTCGTAATGAAGTCGACCCTGCTTTGGCTTTGTTATCTGATTATGTGTTGCACACAAACAGCACAATGCGAATTGGTTCGATTCTCGGTCTTGGACTTGCTTATGCTGGCTCAAACCGTAAAGATGTCATCGATCTCATCACACCGGTTTTCAGTGCTGATAAAAAAGCTGGAACAACCAATGAAGTGCTTGGGATTGCAGCGCTTTCACTTGGAATGATTGCAGTTGGATCGTGTAACGCTGATGTGTCTGAAACACTCACAACAACAATAATGGAAAGAACTGATAGCGATTTCCGAGATACTTTCTCTAAATTTCTTTTCCTTGGATTGGGTTTGGTTTATTTAGGACGTCAAGAGTCGGCTGAGGCTGCAATTGCACTCTTGAGTGTCATTCCCGAACCACATAAATCAACTGCTTCGACAATGGTTGAAATTTGCGCTTATGCTGGAACTGGAAATGTTCTTAAAATTCAACACTTGCTTCACATTTGCAGTGATCATTATGAGCCTTTCACACCTGATTCTTCAACTGATAAAAGTAAAACAAAAGAACAAAATGAACAGCAACAGAAAGAAGAACGAGAGAAAGATTTATCACAATGTCAAGCTGTTGCTGTGTTGGGAATTGCATTGATTGCATTAGGAGAAGACATCGGAGCTGAAATGGCGTTTAGATCGTTTGGAAATCTTCTTCGTTATTGCGAGCCAACCATTCGTCGTGCTGTTCCACTTGCTCTAGGCTTGATCTCAGTCTCTAATCCGAAACTCAATATTCTTGATACGCTGAGTAAATTCTCTCATGACAGCGATGCCGAAGTCGCTCATAATGCCATCTTTGCAATGGGCTTAGTTGGAGCTGGCACAAACAATGCTCGTCTTGCTTCAATGTTACGTCAATTGGCACAATATCATGCTAAAGATCCGAATAATCTCTTCATGGTGCGAATTGCTCAAGGCTTGACACATTTGGGAAAAGGAACTTTGACTTTGAGTCCTTATCACAGTGATCGTCAACTCATGAGTCCCGTGGCTTTGGCTGGTTTGATGGCAACTTTAGTTGCATTTTTAGATGTCAAAAATAGTAAGTTCGCTTTTCATATTGTAATTTGATATTTAATTAGTGATTTCTTCACAGTTATTCTCTCGCGTTCACATTATTTGCTTTACACAATGGCCACTGCAATGCAACCAAGAATGTTAGTGACATTCGATGAGAATTTGAGTCCATTAACAGTACCCGTACGAGTTGGAGTTGCTGTTGACGTTGTAGGTCAAGCTGGTAAGCCCAAAACTATTACCGGCTTTCAAACACACACAACACCCGTGTTACTTGCGATGGGCGAGCGTGCTGAGTTGGCAACTGAAGAATATATTTCACTTACACCCATTATGGAAGGATTTGTCATACTTAAGAAGAATCCAAATTATAAGCCGTAAACATTAAAGTTTTGTAATTTAACGAATCACTTCTTTGTCATTGAACGGAAATAAATTAATTAAAAAATAATTTTCAACAAAATTTTTATTTTAATGTTTTTAAATTCATCTTGTTTTTTTAATTTGTTATGATTTTCCAATTTGTTTGAAAGTAGTGTAGAAAATTCTGCAAAATGTTTCAATTATAGTTTTCAATGAAAAAGTTTCGCATTCTATCCAGAAAAAATGATTGAAAATTCTTTATCCAACACACCTCTTAAATGTTATTGAAACTGAAGAGCGACTTTGACATTTGCTATTAAACAACAAATTGATGCTATCATTCATTAAACGAGTAATTATCTTCAGATTCGCAAAAATGGATATTTAAACCTTCTCTGTTTAAACCTCCAGTCGAGATACATTTGTCAAACTGAAAATATGAAAAAAAGTTTTTTTTCATTCTGCTTTTTGGTACGTTTTTAAAATTTTCCTTACAGATTCCTACTTTGACATTTCAGTGTCACTATTAGTGGTTGCCAACATAAATTTGATAAAGACTTTCGAGTGAATTTAAATACAACACATGACCTTCAGAATTTGCAAACTGTTTGCTTTAATCATGTAGCAATAACGTAAAGGAAATCTTAATTCAGATCATGTTGACAACACATTTAGGAATTGAAAAAATATTTTATTTAAAATAATTTTAATCAGGTGATGGTAATCTCTGCTGAAACACATATTATTGAGAAAAGACATTCTGATCCCTTCGGAAACCGTGGGAAAAATGACAAAAATTATGGCCTTAAATTGCCATATCAAAGAGATAACGATAATGGTAATTATACGTTTGTTAAACGGTTGATACGTTTTTATTTTATTTAATGAAACCAATTTTAAGGTTCCTCAAAGAATCAAAGAACTTGTCAATGTTCTCCCGGGACAACAGGAAATGATCAAAATCGGTTTCTGCTTGGCGATCAGCAAAGCAATGGTCCATTAGATGGTTTGTTTGGTGGTCAAAAACGGGACAATGGACCATTGGGAGGCTTGTTTGGTGGTCAACAACAAAGCAACAATCCTTTAGGTGGCTTGCTAGGAGGTCAACAACAAAACAATAATCCTCTAGGAGGTTTGCTTGGAGGTCAACAACAAAACAACAATCCTTTAGGAGGCTTGTTAGGTGGTCAGCAAAGCAATGGTCCATTGGATGGTTTGTTTGGTGGTCAACAACAAAACAACAATCCTTTAGGAGGTTTGCTTGGTAGTCAACAACAAAACAACAATCCATTAGGTGGTTTATTGGGTGGTCAGCAAAGCAATGGTCCATTAGGAGGTTTGTTTGGTAGTCAAAAGCAAGACAATGGACCATTGGGAGGCTTGCTTGGTGGTCAGCAACAAAGCACTAATCCTTTAGGTGGCTTGCTAGGAGGGCAACAACAAAACAACAATCCATTAGGTGGTTTATTGGGCGGTCAGCAAAGCAATGGTCCATTAGGAGGTTTGTTTGGTAGTCAAAAGCAAGACAATGGACCATTGGGAGGCTTGCTTGGTGGTCAGCAACAAAGCACTAATCCTTTAGGTGGCTTGCTAGGAGGTCAACAACAAAACAACAATCCATTAGGAGGCTTGTTAGGTGGTCAGCAAAGCAATGGTCCATTAGATGGTTTGTTTGGTAGTCAAAAGCAAGACAATGGACCATTGGGAGGCTTGCTTGGTGGTCAGCAACAAAGCACTAATCCATTAGGTGGCTTGCTAGGAGGTCAACAACAAAACAATAATCCTTTAGGAGGTTTGTTTGGTGGTCAACCACAAAACAACAATCCATTAGGTGGTTTATTGGGTGGTCAGCAAAGCAATGGTCCATTAGGAGGTTTGTTTGGTAGTCA